CCCCGCACCCGGCCAAAGAGGCCCCAGCCAAGCCCTCCCTCCCTCCCGATTTTCCCGGACATGCCCGGCTTTTGGGGATTTCCCCCCGGACGGGGATTTGAGCCCCCAAAAGCCGGACATGTCCGGGAAAATCCGGACGTATAGTAACCCTATCTATGCAGTTACTTTGGGTGCATCAGTGTGAAACCAATCCAGTTGAAGCGGTGTACTTCCTTCCTTGTGTAGGTGCAGATATCCTGATACAGAGGTGCCTTATACCAGTACAGCTTATGCCAGCAAACTGACGAGAATAAACGTCAGCATTATAAGGCAGCTTTGTACCAGTCTACCTGAGCCCGCAGTAGGATTGCATATTTAACTATTTGGGTAGGAAAACACTCCCTGCTGATGTGCTGAGCCAGCTGCCTGTCATGTTGACTAATAGTGTCTTCTGGTTTTCTTGGACTCATTTGCTAGTCTGCCCGTATCCATCAGTTGTCTCTTGTTTTATACTTGGGTTGTAAACTCCTTGGGTCTGCAGGGTTGTCTCTTTGTTCTGTGTTGCACATCAGTTAGTGCAGTGAGGTGTTGGTCTGTGATTGGAGCTGCGAGGTGCTGTGAGAATACAAGTGGGACTCCTGGGGAAATTTTGTGCCAAAAATTAAAAATTCTGCCCACAATATTTTAAAATTCTGCAAAGTTTTATTTGTCAATAAATAAATGCAGAGGCTCTGGCATGGCAGTGGGGAGCACAGGCCACTAGCTTGCTGAAGGTGGGAGATCACCCAGCAGCCCCCCCACCCCTTGGGACACAGACTCAAAGGTGAGGCTGCACCAGATCCTGACACAGCACAAGCCCTGGATATGCCCTAGAAAAGCCCTGGGGCCCTGCCCCTCTGCTCCAGGCACAGCAGGTGTGGGGCAGGCAGGCTCTATTAGGCAGGATCCAAGTGTGAAGGGGCTTAGTGGGGGATCTAGGTGGAGATGAGAGGATTCTGTGTGGGACAATCTGGGGGGCAGGCAGCTAGGTGGGGGGTCTGGGTATGGATGCACAGGGGAGGGGGGGAGGTTCCAGGTGCAGGGGCACTGGGACTCTGCAAGGGCTTCCAGGTGAAGCTGGTTGGGGCTCAGTGGAGGGGTCTGGGTGCTGAGAGAGTGGGGCTTGGTGGGGTGAGGGTCTGGGTACAGCTAGTTGGGGGTCAGTGATGTGGGGGCTCAGGGTGGTGCAGGGGGAGGGACATCAGAGTTGGGGTTTGAGTGCAAGGAGCTCAGTGGGGGGTGCTCTGGGTGCAGGGATGGGGGTTTGGAGGCAGGGGGTCTGATTGCAGAGGGCTCCAGATGCAGGGGTTGAGGTTCAATGCAGTGGAGTTTGGGTATGGAGGGGTAGGGGGGTTCTGGATGTACCTGCTGAGGCTTGGCAGGGGTGTCTGGGTATGGGAAGTCCAGATGCAAGGGGGTTGGGTGGATGGGGGAGCAGCTCCCTGTACAGAGACTCCTCACCTCACAGTTGAGGAGTGATGGGGGCAGAAAGCAGGGAAGGATGCTGAGCTTCCTGCATCTGGGGGAGGTTTCTGGGGGTGGTGTCTGGAGCTGTCTCAGACCTCCTTGCAGGGGAAGAGGAAGTCCCGCCCTCTCCTGCCTCAGCCCAGCCGGGATTAGCAGCTGATCCCGGCTCAGGGTAGAAGCCACTGGCTGGGGTGTCCCCAGCCCCGCTATGATTTACCTCTTCGCCAGCTGCTCTGGGTGCCTGAAAAGATGTATCTGCTCTGCTAGGGAGTGGTGCGTGACTGCTCTTGCAACTTTCCTTTGCTTCCCCATCAGAAAGTCATTTTTCTGCTGGAAAGCAAAGACATCTGTGGGAGACATGAATTACGTGGAGTGGTGCAGAATTCCCCCTGGAGTAAAGTAGTAAAAACTAAAAGTTAAAGGGGTTAAAACCTGCCTGTATTTTATTTGTCAAATAACACAGTATAATTGCATCATTTTAAATTATTTTGGCAACTTATTTCAAAATACCTGTTAGCAAGCATGTCTGTAACAATAAAGACAACAAAAAAAATTCAGGAAATGTTTTTTTGACAAATAGATTCCTTACTAGGCATATTAATACAGAACTTTGAGTAATTCATTTAAACTACAATACAGAAACCTATTTCTTGCACCCCTCAGAAGCAGTGTGAAGGTTTGGGGGAGTCAGGGGTAATGAGGAGCTCGGGAGAGGGAAGTAATGGAGAGGGAAGGAGCCTGAAAGTGAACCTGGAGGGTTGTTTGGTGTGGGTGGGAGAAGTATGGAACTGTATTTTGTGTGTGTACGTGGGGGGGGGAGGGGATTGTTAGGGAATTGGGGAGCCTCCCTCATGAAGACCTTGGCTGACCCCAGCCTCTCCTATTCAGCCAGGCACATCTGCTCTGTCCTCATGTGTCCTGGCAGTCCCACTCAGCCACCCCTCGTCCACATGTGGCTCTACACCCCACTCCCATTCAACAACTGGCTCAATGCTGTTACCCCATTAGCTCCTGTGCTCCTGCCCCAGTCTGTACGTCCCCCCCCCCCACTAGCTCATCTGAATCCCAGTCTGTGACCCCCAGCAGCCCTCTGTGTCCTGTTCTGTCTGCCCCCCAGCTTGCCTTGTGGGTAAGGCATTGTGAGGAAGACAGCCACTGCCCCCTCCCTCTCCATGGCCGGCTGCTTTGGCCCTGAACCCACTGCCCTCTCTTCTGGCACCACAGCAGCCCCTGGTCTGTGAAAGGTGTAATTGCAGCACCTCTGGACAGAATGTGTTTTCTGCGGCGGGGAATCTGCAGGGGACATAATTTCCCCCAGGAGTAACTCTTGTTATTGTGCAGACTTCAGTGAGAATCTTGCTGATGTAAGCATTGTAGGACTAGTATCAG